TTAATATAAATAATCACATTAATCGATTTAATTTGTTAGTACTTAATCTTGAATATAAACCCAATTAGGTCATGAAGTTTTTACTGTTTTGAACATTGGTAGATAGTTGCATATATGTTAATGAGTAAGATAGGAACTTTTCATTTCCTTAGAAATTTAGGGGATTTAGACACAGTTCAACTCATAAGAGGAGCTGGAAAAGCTCCCTTCCTTTTCTATGCTCTAAAAGAGGGCAGGATTAGAGCAGTGGTTCTCAACTGGAGCAATTTTACCCCTCAAGGGACATTGCTAATATCTAGAGACATTTTTTATTATTAAAACTGGGGAGGTGCTACTGGTATCTAGTGGGTAGAGGGCAATGATGCTGCTGACCATCCTACAACGCACAGGACAGCTGCCTCCTCTTCCCCCAACAAAGAATTTATCTTACCCAAGATGTCAATAGTACTAAAGCTGTGATTTCTTCTCTCATTCTGAATAAATAATCTCTATCCTAATTTTGTGTTTTTTCAGATGGGGCTTCACAACTTATATGAGCTTCAGGCTCCACAGAATCTGGAGCTGGTGGGAGAAAGTGGGCACTGTGTAGAGGAGGGTGTGTGTGTGTGTGTGTGTGTGTGTGTGTGTGTGTGTAAAAGAGAGAGAGCATAACCATTGAGCCAATGCTGGGAAGATGGGGGGAGGGACAGAGAAATTTTGTTTTGACATACTTTCAAATAATCACAGTTACTAAGAAATTGGCCACAAGCAATAATACCAAGAAACTGAAGGAAAATCATTAGTTGATATATGGTCTAGCAATCCTAATTCTTGGCATCTATTCTAGAGAAATGCTAGCACATATACATAAAGATGTATCTGAGGATTTTTCCTGAAGCAATGTTTATAAAAATGAAAAATTGGAAGCAATCCATATGTCAGATCTGTAGAGTAATGGATAAAGTATGATATATATATACAAAACCCTAGAAAAGTTAAAAGGAAACCAGATTTATATGAGTCAACATGGATATATTTCAAAATTATATTTTTGAATGAAAAACCAAGTTGTATAACTACTCTTATTATATTTTATGTTGATAATGTATACATGTAATACATTATGTGTTTATGTAATACATTTATGTGATATATTCAGACTCAAAATATTACTATGTATCTTCTCTAGTTTAAATGCTTGTAAAATATTAAAATTGCCTTAACGGACATTACATTACACAATGAATAACTGCGTAAGAGTAGTTAACTGGGGGATTGGGCCTAAACGGGCAGTTGGACATCCCTCTCGCAATCCGGGACCGCTGGCTCCTAACCACTCGCCTGCCTGCCTTATCGCCCCTAACTGCCTCTGCCTCAGCTTCTGCAGCCATGGCTTCATCTGGTCTAATTAGCATATTATGCTTTTATTATTATAGATATATGGATGAATGGATGTTAGTTTCTGTTTAATGCTTTTTTGGATTTTCAAACTTCCAAAAATACAACTTTAATTATTAAAAAAGAGTTTTATGAATACCAATTAAAGCTATGGAAGTGAGAAATTAAAACCACCAAGTTTATGGGAGAGTTCAGCAATATCCCAGCTTGTTGAGATGCCAGGATGAAATGTCACTCTTGGTGACTAATACCATAGGACTGAATTTAATAATTCATACAACTAATTTCAACAGATTCTCCACAGTTCTAACAATTACCCACTTTCTTTCCTTTGGGAAGTAACAGGGAGTGAGAAGAAACCCTTGCTCTCCCCCGGATGCTCCTGACCTAGCCTGGGCGAGAAGGACTATCACTTCACTTTGCAAGGACTTGCAGAGGGGATGGCACATGGTGCTTTAGCACCTTGTTCATGAAGGAATTAAAGGTAAATTCCTTCTGGAGCAAGTTAATACTGTTCTCCCATTTTATATTCTCAAAAGAATTGAAGGCCAGTTTAGCCCTAGGCCTTCTATCATGACACATCACAAAGAACCTCTGAAATCTAATATTAATTCCTAATGATTTTTTTTAGTCTTTCAGTTGGTTTTTGTATCCAAGAGATGGCAATTTGAAAAAGAGGCAAATCTGTTGAGACATTGATACAGAATATAAAATGAATTATGAAAAAGTGCTTAGATCAATAGTTTGGTGTGTGGTAAGTGCTGTTGGTTTTAGCTATTACTACTAATATTACAACTATTACTACAAACAACTCTAATACTAATATGACAGCAGTATAAGTAGGTATTTTAATTGTTTTGTATTACATTAGAAACAGCTTATCTGTAGCAGAAGCTTGCTCTATGGGGTTTTGGGTCCCTTGGGGAAGGATGCTGATTCTCCCCGGAACTCTTCATCCCTGCCTTGATCTTCCCCAGGAGTTCTTCAACTAGATAGTTAGAAAGTGTACGTGGCAGGAAGGTGGAGGGAGCGGGAGAAGAAGGTTTGTTCCTGGGTGCCAAAGACGCGGGTTTTAGCATCTGATTGCTTCCCTCTCTTTCAAGCCATGAGGGTTCACTTTTTCACTTTAAGAATTTGCCAAAAGCAAACGTAATATGTCCTCTTACTTGGCATATAAACCAGAGGAGATGATTCCTGTTAACCTGTGAGGGTTCTTGTTAGAAGAGTAAAATGTCTCGAGACGTCTCAGCGGAGTCCCACTCCATGCATCTTGTCCACCTTCTTGCTATTGTGGCACCATTATCAAGGGCTTGAAGTGCAGCCAAGAAAGAGAACAAACACTGAAGAGGGTATTTTGATGGTGAGATGAAATGTGTAATCCTTGACCCTGCCCCTTTCTGCCGGCTTTCTGTTTGTGTCAGTTTTAAAGTTTCTGCAGAATGAAAGGCTGTCACTCAAAATAGCCCCTGGTGCCCTAGCTGGTTTGGCTCAGTGGATAGAGCGTCAGCCTGCAGACTAAAGGATACCAAGTTCGATTCCAGTCAAGGGCTCATACTTCGGTTGCAGGCTCCTCCCCGGGCTGGGCCCTGGTCAGGGTGCATGTAGGAAGCAACCTATCGATGTGTTTCTCTCACATTGATATTTCTCTCTGTCTTTCCCTCTTTCTTCCACTCTCTCTAAAAATCAATGGAAAAATATCCTCGGTGAGAATTAAAAAAAATAAAAGCCCCCTGGTCACTTACTCCTTGGTCTGTAGAATGTTAAATGCAATTATTTTGCCATATCTATTAGCTAGCAAGGATGGGGTGATGAATTCAGCTGATGACTGGACTTTTAACCCTAGGAAGTGTAGGATTAGCTATTGTGTCTCACTCACTCATTAACACATTCTAGCTAATTTATAATCGTTCTAAAGACCTTATCCCTCTGCCTCTTTAACCACTACTCTTTGCAATGCAGACAGTTTTCATCAGTGGAATTAAAGAATCCAGATGTGGCAAGATAAGTGTGCCTATTTTTATGGGTGCATGAAATTTTTCAAGAATGTTAGGTAGCACTGAGCCATTATAGTCTGCAGAGTATCCTTTGTTCATGCTAAATTCCAGTTATACAAAGCCCAACAAAAGAGATTTAAATCAGTTATGGTACATCTATATAGTTACTTAAAATTATGTCATAGAAATTAATGTCATGGAAAGATATTCATAATATATTCAGTGAGAAAAGGAGGTCAAGTAATAATATATATAATTTGTGTGGTATCATCATTTTTTTTTTCCTAATGAAAGGAGCAAACCATACATGTACAAGTAAAAAAGATGTTAAAAAATACAGCAAAATCTTAACAGTGACTTGTCTGGGTAAAAGAATTATGAATAATTTTTCCCTTTGTGTGTTTGGTTTTTTTGTGTGTTCTCAAATTATCTGCATTTACCTCTGGCAGGTTGCTCAGTGGTTAGAGCATCAGTCTGCAGACCCAAAGGGTCCTGGATTTGACCCTCTCAAGGGCGGGTACTTCGGTTGCAAGTTCCCCAACCTGGGTTGTGCAGGAGGCAACCAATCAATATGTCTCTCTCATGTCACTTCAATGTTTCTCTCTCTCCCCCAACTCCTCCCTCAATTCCACTCTCTCTAGAAAGCAATGGAAAAAATATCCTCGGTGAGGATTTTTTAAAAAAAAATTCTGCATTTAGCATATGTGGCTTTTATAATTAGAAGGAAAATTTTCCTTTTTAAAGGATGATGGCAGAGTATAACTGGCTGGCTGATTAAACAAGAACTCATAGTGTATGTGCACTTGTGGGGTCATCACAAGTTCAGGGGCTCATTCTTAAATTTCAAGTTTATAAGCACGATTTGATTCACTATAGAAATTATGATGGTACAAAAATGATCAGACTGGTTCTCTTCCCTCAATTCTCATTACCACTGTCTATATTATTTCCCCATCAGGATAGATTCCCCCAGATGTAATCATTTCTTCAAAGAATTTGACTCTCCTAAGGCTCTTGAAGCAGGGTAACAAATTATTTAATTTTTTATTTTTATTTTTGGTATTAGCAATGTAAGGAATGATAGTGCTACTGAGCTCAAGGGGTTCCCTGGCTGGGATATTCTATTCAAGAACAAGATGTGGTTGTCCTCAGGTGTTTTATTTAAAGCAGGGTAACACATTATTTAAAATTTTCTTTTGGTATTAGCAATGTAAGGAATGATAGTGCTACTGAACTCCAGGGGTTCCCTGGCTGGGATATTCTATTCAAGAACAAGATGTGGTTGTCCTCAGGTAGTTTTATTTATTTGCAACAAGTAAAGGAGATAGGGGATTCATATCCAAAGTTCTGTCTCCCAGAACAGAGGTTTAGCCATTGCTGTTACGCACTATTTAAGTTAATCACGTTTTCTTCTTTGCAGCTGGCTAAACTTCAGGTCAAGCTCACCAAGTTGCAGCTGAGTCTTCAAAATACTGTGCTACCTTTTAGCACTTAGCAACATAGCATTTAGTAAAAACTGCCCAGACCCTGAGACCTTTGTCTTATCTAACAACAGTATAATGGTGCCCTTTCATAAGCACTATTTTTATTGTTTTCTGCCATTTGACAGTTTTCAAATTATTCTTTAATTTGCTTTTTAAAAATTTTTTAGTAACCATGACAAGTTCACATGCTTTTTACTCATTCTTTTTTCTTTGGTTATAACTTTGAAGAGAGTGCAGATTCTATTTGCATGAGGGGAGAAAGCAGAGACCGGAGAAAGGAGCATTGGGGTTCTACTGCAATAGCTTTCTATTTTATTTAAGTACTGTTCATCTTCACCCAAGAATATTTATCCATTGCTTTTTGTTGTTTTTTTTTTTTTAGAAAGAGTGGAAGGGAGAGAGAGAGACATGGATGTGAGAGAGACACATATCAATTGTGTTTGCGGGGCTCTAGCCTGCAACCAAAGTCAGCGGGCCCTTGACCGGAATCCAACCTGGGACCCTCCAGGCTGCTGGCCGAAGCTGTGACTACTGAGCCAAAGCGGCTGGGGCCGCAAGAGCTTTTTAAATCGCCTACCCACTGCTACCCTTGACCGCCTCCAAACAGCAACCAGAGAAGTCATTTAAAACGTCCAAATCCTGTCCCTCTCCTGCTTAAAACCATCCGGTGGCTTCCCGTTGCTTTTCAAATAAAATTCAGCTGTGCCATGGTGGGCCCAGTTGAGCTGTGCAATCTTGCTGACTGCACCGCAGCCACGCCGACCTCTGTTCCTCAAACGCCCCACTTGCTTGCACACCCGTCCGTCCTGGCCTGGGACAGCCTTTCGCTCACGCAGGCACTTGGCTCCTTCTCCGTGGCTTTTCGCTCAGACAGCACCTCCTCCGACAGGCCTTCCACGCCTCCCCCGTCACATGCATCGTGTTCGCTTCTTGCAGCACCTCTCACAGCCTGAAATTATCCTCCGTTGGTTGGTTCGCTGGTTCTCTTTCGCTCTCCCAACCACCAAGTCAGGCAGGAGGCAGGCAGCCCAAGCCTCTCGACACAGTGTCAGGTGGGTGACGATCGCGGTGCCCCCCGTCTTCAACGAAGGGGTTAACCAGGCGAACGCGAGCAGGTTTAAGTGGACGCACCCTCCAAAGGAAGCCAGGGCACTCTCGTTCCCGCGATCCTAGAAACCTCGGGAGGGGGGAGTCTTAATAAGGACCCGGGGAGCGAGCGCAGGGAATAAATAGGAAGAACCTGGGCGACGCAGTCTTCACCCGCCGGAGAGCGCGGAGACTTGGCACGGCGCTCTCAGGGAGCCACTGGGCACGGAGCCATTGGAAGTTTTCTTTTTATTTCTTTTAAGACACTGGGACCTGACTGAAAGCCAACGGAACACACTGAGAAGAGGAAGAGCCGAAAACCTGCGCGTCCCGGCGCACTTGGGCGGAATCCACGCAAGACCGGCCTCGCATCGCCCGCTTCGGTCCTCAGCGAACCAGGACCCCCTGCAAACGCCTCCCCCGTCCCCTCGCGGGTCGGCTTCCTCCGAGCGCTGAAAGGGCTTTCAAAATACTAAAGGAAGCGGACATCTTTTTCTAAATCAAAAAAAGTAACAATAACCACCATCTGAAAATGGCAGGAATGTACAGAGAAGAAAGTCTGGAAGCCGCATTCCGCTGATCTCCCAGGCCCGCCCCACGGACCCCCACCTGAGGGCTCCCAGGGGGCGGGGCGGGGCGT